CTCCCTTGAGTTTGGGCCCTTTCAAATTAATGTCAAAGTCTGGTAGGCTGGGTCCTGACAGTGATGGCAGTTTGAACTTGGGTCCTTTGAGTTTTCCATCAGGGCCTTCAACTTCTGGTCCACTAATATCAATTTCAGGTGCTTTGACATTGACATCAGCTTTGGGAAGGTTTATGTCAACATCTGGACCCTCAACCTTTGGACCTTTGAAACCAAATGTTGGCATTTTAATTTTGGGCATATCCAGTCCACCTTTTGGGCCTTCCAAATCAATCTCTGAGCCTTTTATATCCACCTCAGGTACCTTTATTTTTCCTTCAGCCTTTGGTATATCAACATCACCTTCAAATTTAGGACCTTTTAGTTTGAAATCTACGTCGGGCATGGAAATCTTTGGTCCTGAGATATTTGGCATCTTGAATTTTGATCCTTTGATCTTCCCACTTGGACCCTCAACGTCAATATCAGGTGCTTCTATTTTCACTTCCGGTGTCTCTATTTCAGTCTTAGGTGTTGAAACATTTATATCAGCATCTGGACCTTCAACTTTTGGACTTTTAAATCCAAATTTTGGCATTTTGAATTTAGATCCTTTGGCTTTTGGTGTAGACAGTTCCAAATCAAGGTCCACACCCTCAAGGCTGCCAGTTTTTCCTTTGAGGTTGATGTCGCCTTGTGGCAATTTCAACTCACTGTCTGGTGCATTTAGCTTTGGACCCTTGAAACCAAACCTTGGCAGTTTGAATTTCATTTTCTTTGAACCAGTTTCTGGAATATCAATTGAAGCATCTGGTCCCTCAATTTCAGGTTTTGACAGTTGAAAATCCCCCTTCATATCTCCTTTCAACTTTGGTCCCTTTAAATTGATATCAACATCTGGCAGGGACATTTTGGGTCCACTTATTGTTGGAAACTTTACCTTGGGCCCTGAAAATTTTCCCTGTGGAGAGCCAATGTCCATCTTGGTACCGTGGACATCTACTTCAGGGATTTTAATATCGCCTTCAATCTTTGGAGTTGACACATCAACATCTCCCTTGAGTTTGGGCCCTTTCAAATTAATGTCAAA